TTCCATTTCTTTTAGTTTTTTTTCCTATAAATATCAATAAAATTTTATCTGTATTGTACAAAATTTGAAAATTTAATAGAAGACTCCTAGTTTATTGTTTCAAAGGCAGATGAAAAAAATTAAAAATCCATAGGCACAGTTTTTTTTTTGTAACCATTTAAAGTTCAAAATTCAAATATTGAAAAAATACGTAAAAAGGACGACAATTTGGAAATTATTTAGAGTTAGAAATTGATATAAAATTTTTTTTTAAATCTAAGATTTTAAAATAAAATACAAGAATTCCTTATAAGATTATCTACCTTTATAAAAAAAAAAAATGTCTATAAGAAAGTCAAATTAAATTGTTATGAGCGTTTGAAATTCATATTTTTACAATATTTTATATTCACTCGATTTCTTATAAAGCGATTTTATTATTTTGTTGTAATTCAAAAACGAATAACTGTAGATAAATGAAAATTTCACTGAATTTTTATATTAGCATTTCCTAACACCATACACTTTTGAAAATATTTTGACTCTTTTTGAGCTGTTGACGGACATTTTCTGACTGAAAAGTTTTCAATTTTAGATTCTGAGCGGAGCGATGAATGTATTGATTTTACAATGATGTGTGTTTTTATTGTGTCTGTGTACACGATAAGTAGTCGAAATAATGCTTCGATTTTCGACTTCAGTATCTTGTTCGATTGGAAAGTGAATATCGTTGGTGCATTGAGGAGGTCAAAATTTAAAATTCCCAGTACTTTTCAAAAGCGCCAAGAAAAACAAAAGAAAAATTAAGGAAAAACGGGAATTTTTAAGCAAAATCGATTTTTCAGAAAATTGAATTTGGTTTTTGGTGTAACTTTAAAACAAATGACCGTAGGTACATGCGATTTTCACCGGTTGTTTATATTTGCATTTCCTATACACTATAACATTTTCAAAATATTTTGATTTATTTTGAACAGTTTAGGGACATTTTCATTTTCCATTTTTTTTTTAGTTTTTTTTCTAAAGATATCAATAAAATTTTATTTGTTGGCTGAAAAAGCTTGAAAATTTAATAGAAGGCTCCTAATATATTGTTTCAAAGGCAGATGAAAAATATTAAAAATCCTTAGTCACAATTTTTTTTATAAGCATTTAAAGTTCAAAAATTGACAAAATATGGAAAAATCACGAAAATTAGCAAATTATTTTGAGTTAAGAATTCGTAAAAATTTTTCTTTTTTAATCTAAGATTTGAAAATCTAATACAAGATTACTCATAAGATTGTCTACCTTTATCAATAAAAAAATCTCTACCGGAAAGTCAAATTAAATTTTTATGAGCGTTTGAAATTCAAATTTTTACAACATTGGATATTCACTCGATTTCTCATGTGGCAATTTCCTTTTTTTGTTGTAATTAAAAAACAAATTACTGTAGATACATGAAAATTTCACACAATGTTTATATTAGCATTTCCTATACACCATACAATTTTGAAAATATTTTGACTCTTTTTGAGCCGTTTGCGGATATTTTCATTTTTCAATTATTTTAATACAAGGCTCCTGATATATTGTTACAATATCAGTTGAAAAATATTAAAAATACATAGGCACAATTTTTTTTTATAAGCATTTTAACATCGAATTTTGACAGAATTTTTCAAAATCTCGAAAATTGTCAATCATCGTAATTAATAAATTATAAAATGTTCAGTTTTTATAGCTAAGGATTGAAAATTTAAAACAAGATTCCACGTAAGTAGTTAATTATCTTACCGAAAAATCTAAAAAATATACAATCACAGTTTATTTTTATAGTCATTTTATGTTCAAATTTGGACGAAATTTCATATTAAAAAACCTAGTTATTTTGTTGTGATTATATAATATTATTCGTGGGTACGGGGTACCTACTTGAAACTTCTAAAGTGTATTATTATATATCGATGATAGTATCAGGGTTTGTTATTGATGTTGATGTATAACGTGTTATAAGTACCTAATGAATATTGTGATAATGTGATATGATTAATTTGGAATTTACTATAGGTCAATTTTTTTTTAATACCATAGATTTGTATATAATTTATCTTAAACCTAGACTGACATACCGTCTTCGCTCAGAATCGTTTTTCTTATACAATGATATTATATCATTGAATTCAAATTTAATAGCATCCATTATACAGTGACCCACTTGTAACCTACTGTACAGCAGAGCGACATCCACTTACACACC